TATTTTTAACAATTGAAAAGTGATGAAATGTTAGACTTTTTGCAACGTTGACTTGAAAAACGTTGCGAAATGTCATTTTTCGCAACATTCACCTTCACGAACGTTGCAATTGACCCTTTTAGCAACATTCAATCAATGAATGTTGCATTTTAAATGTTGCCAAAGCCCATTTTTGTTGTAGTGTCCCCCTATCGTCGAGCCTAGCTATAAGACCTCGTAATTTCGAGACCAGTTTGTAAGACTACGATGGTTCGAGATCTATTTACGTAATAAGATGATGATATATAAGAGGTTTAAAGATATTCTAAAATCAAGTTTTAAGAACATTGAAAGTGACCATTTAACGCTCAATACGTCTATCAAGTTAATATAATGAAAATGACGATATCGAAAACTTCAAGTAGATATGTGATCATACAAAAATTTTATAAATATAAAATGAAAAATGAGAATTCAAGTTAATATAACGAAAATGAAGATATCGAAAACTTCAAGTAGATATGTGATCATACAAAAATTTTATAAATATAAAATGAAAAATGAGAATGTTCGATGTTGCAAGAAAAGGCAAAAAAAATCTCAATGATAACAAGAAAGGGAAATCAGAGACCAATTCGTATGAATTGGAAATTCATTGGTTGTTGAGACCGCAGCAGCAAAAATGAGTTGCATTCGCAATGCTAGAAATAGCAGAGGCAGTCCCCAATTTCCTGTAATAATGCGATCGCACCCCTAAACCCAATGCTGTTGCCTAGAGTTGCAAGGAGAATACGATTTTCCCAATCCTATTCAACCACTAATTCTACACCAATTTGAGCAAGATTTATTACCTCGAAAAAAGATTGCGAGCTGTAGTGAATTTCTCACGCCTCATGAGGCATCAAAATTCTAGTTGGTGGCAGAGAGTGAATATGGACTACGTTGGAGATAAGTAAGATATCCAAATAAAATGCGACAGTTGGATGTCTATTATGTGTGGATTAACCTAAAAAATGAGAGAAACATTCTTCCTTGTCATGGTAATATGCCGGTCGTCATATTTGATATGTTGAATTAATTAAATGTGATTAAAAAAGAAATAGACAGAGAATTAAAATTGTATTTTCTCTTATATTGTATTGTCAGGTAGACAAAAGTAAAACCCTAACTTTATTTAGTTATGGACTGTTATTTAGCCCATGTTTAATTTTGTTAAAATTAAAATTTTAATAAAAGTTAATAAAGTTTGTTTTGAAAAGTTGATAAAAGTTGTGATTCCCATAAAATATATAGTTAAAAATAAATTCGAAGAAAAATAAGTTCTAAAAAATGGAGGCCAAACAGGGAATTAAATTACAAGTTTTTTATTATATATTTACTACGTGAATAATCCATAAGTTCACACGTAATTTGGGGTTCTTTATATTTGCTAAACAACCTTTTATAATAAACTAATAATCCAATATAGTAGGATGCGATCATATCTATTCACATTTAAGCATTCAGATTTACTG